GGACGCCCAAATACTTGCGCGGGACTGTCGGCCAGGGCACATTTGCAAAGTGGGCATGGTTTGTGTGGCAATATTTGTACCAGAACTGGAGACACTTTGACCAATTACCTCCGCTTCCGTTGACATAGCTAAAGTCACAATTAATGCTTCGTTGCACGTTTAATGCTTCGTAGGTCTAATGAAAAAATCGCCACGTCATACAAGCCGCGATTTTACTTGCAACTGCTTCGGGAAAAAGCACTACGCAAATATCATGTAGTAAAAGAAGTCTCCTTAACGCATTTTGTTCAACACGTGTCAAGATAAAAACGAGCCCATTCTGCGCTTTGTAGAAGCATTAAGGAGGCCATCAAACAACGCCAAAAAAAAGGCCGAGACAGTGCAGCCATCGCTGCTAAAAACAGACAGGAACTATCAAGCAGCTTTAAAATTGGACAACTATGTCCATGTAGCGCGAAATTTATCATGCCTTTTCAAAGACGTTGATCAATCAAACAGCAAATGCTAGATAAGGTGCTGCCATCTTTGAGGCCTTGTGACACTCTTTATGGCCTCCGAGATGGCGAGCGCGTGGCTTTTATCTTGGAGGCCATGCGACTCTTGCGTTAAATCAAAAATCTCTATGTACCATTCGTGCGAATGTGTGTGTGTGTGCGTGTGTCTGTGTGCCATCTGTGAGACATTGTGAAAAACATGTCTCGACTACAGCGGAGCGCCATTCTAGAAGAGGGCAGTGGCCAAACTGCACAGTCTTGTTCATCAATGAGTGCCTGTGTGGCATTCATGTCAAGTAGTGTCCCTAAACTACCAAGCCAGAACGATGCTATCGTCCAACAATGAGCAACTGAGAGCAGCACACGCACTGCCTTATCAGCGGCACTTCAAGCAGCTTCGGTGTCAGACGATGCTCGACGACAAGGGAGTATGCGGAATTATGCACTGAGCGGTTGAAGAGTGCCCTAGGGGCCAGATTTTGCTATCGCGTTCATCTTGTAAGGGTGAAGAGTAAGGGACCCCCAATTTTTTCTTTTAATTTGGTTTCAATAGCTTTACCCGTGTCATCCGAATAATGAGAACACGTGACCAAAGTCCCAGTGGATGCCCGTATAAAATGCTTTTATTGTGAAAGTGTTTTATGCTGAGGTCCACAATGGCTCCACTGACGTACTTCCGTCCCGGAAGTGAAGTTGAAAAATGTATACTAAGAGATTGCAAAGAAGGAACCAGAACTAAAGCAACTGTAGCAAGGAATTGAACCATTAACCTGTCACTTCTCAGTGCATGGAGTTAACCATTACGCCACAGAGTGTACGTTACCTGGACTGCTAATCGCAAGTCATTTGTATATGCCGTACACCATTTAACAGTCATCAGAGCTTCGAAACTTTATCGCAATTTCAGTTATCTCTGGCGAGAAGGCGTGACAGGCTGGCACTGGGGGAGCTGTAAAGTCGTCTCCTGAGCACGCGCGCTTCTCAGACTCGGAATTCAGAGAACGAAGGTCACTTCGCACGCTGCCACGGCCACGTCTACGGAAGGAGCGCACTACTCGCACATGATGCAGGAAGAATTTTGAAAGCTGTTTGTATTTGTACTGTGCATACTTTCGTGCTCAGTTTCGTGCGTCTTTCTGTTTGAACAGCGTGCCTTCAGTGTTGGGCTGTTAAAGCCGCTATTGCACGCTCGTCATGAGTGAACAAATTTGGTGCGTGCTTTCTTCTTGCAGACTGCACTGCAAGTTTTGAGTTGCTTGCTTTTCCTAACGTGACATGTCACGTTGTTGGCTGCATACCATGCTCACCATGTGCTCGTGGTAATTTCGCTGGCTTCAAATACCCGAAATATGGCATAAAGCGGCGTGAATAGAAGATGAAGGCATGTGGCGGGTGCAAACATCTTAATAATCATATGCGTATTATGTAAGAACATCACTGCTTGCAATGCTCGCAGTGTGCTAGGGGCCGTTCCGCTAGTTTCACGTGTACCAAGTTTGATAGTACGTGATGCGAATAGACTATGAAGGTAAATGACACGTCAAACATGATAATCATGACATGCGTGTCATGCAAAATGAGTACATGCCACGCTCACATTGTGCTCACGGATATTTCGCTGGCTTCACATACACGCCATTTGGTATTACGTGACGTGAATTAAAAACGAAGGTAAACAACTTGGGCAAATCATAATCATCCTACGCGTGTCATGTAAGAACATGACTACATGCGATGCTCACGATGGCTCGGGGCGGTTCAACTAGCTTCACATTTGCTAAATTTGTATTACTTGATACGAATAGACCGCGAAGGTTAACGACACGTCAAACCATGGTAATCATGACATGTATGTCGTGTAAAACATGACTACATACCCCGCTCGCAATGTACTCACGGTCATTTCACTGGCTTCACACACACACACAATTTCGTTTTACGTGAAGTGAATGGGTGACGAAGTTATGTGACTGATGCAAACATATAAATTACTGCACGCGTGTCATGTAACAGCATGACTACATGCCATGCTCACGATGTGTTCGGGCCCATTTCGCTAGCTTCACCTATGCGAAATTCAGGTACGTGATGCCAATAGAGCATGAAAGTGATTGACACGTCCAAACATGATGGTCATAACATACAGGTCATGTAAAACATGACTACTTGCTACGCTCGTATTGCGCTCGCAGCCATTTCGCTAGCTTCTTATATACCAAATTCGGTGTTACGTGACGTAAGTGGATGACGAAGGTCATCCACTTACGCAGCAAACATGACAATTATGACTATGCGTGTGATGTAAGAACATCACTACATACCATGCTTATGATATGCTTGCTGCCGTTTCGCAAGCTTCACATATCCCAAATGTGGTATTACTAGAGGTGAATAGACGACGAAGATAAAGGACACGTCTAAACATGATGTGTCACGTCAAGTATGTTTACAAGCTACGCTCATAGTGCGGTCATGGCCATTTCGGTAGCTTCCCATATACCAAGTTTAGTATACGTGACGTGAATGCACGATGAACACGAATACCTGCAACAAACATGATAACCTTGACATGGAAGTCATGTACGATATAACTTATGTTCGGCTCGTAAGGTTGTGCTGATTTTATGTGATAATTTGAACTTCCTCATTCGTGCTTCTTCGTATCATCGATTCTCGCTGTACGTTGGATCTACGAAATTTTTAAAAGCACTAATATATAGATCTACGCTTGCCCAAAAAGCAATTTAAGCTGCATGTGGGGAACTAAGGATAAACTCGTACTTCAGATACATGCGTCTATTATGCTAGATCTGAAGATCTTACCCCTATCGCAAAAAGAATAATGGCGGGAATAACACACGGAGCCCACACTGCGGCTGAAATAATGCTGTAGGTGGACAGCGTGTAAGGTTGATACGTAGTGTACAGGTTGCCTAGATAGTGTAGGAAGTGCGTGAATAGTGGGCGAGATGCACTGAGGGTGTGTGTTAGTCGAGGTGTGAAGATAAATGACGAGTTTAAGGTGTCGCAGAAGGGTGGAAGTTGTGAACACGTAGGGCCTAATTCCTTAATAATTACATTTATTTCATTACTCATATCGTTACATTTGAGAACATCTTCGTGCTAAGGTATGGCGGAAAAGTTAATGAAAAAAAGGACATTCGGGCTCATAGCAATCGCTATATATGTGTTTTCAGACAATTCAGGTAATGATTTCACTAATGGGTTAACAGCTTGGGTCAGTAAACATATGCTTATATATTTTTAGATTTCTAGTTGAGAAACGTGGTGAAGATTTATATCTGCTTGCCATTCGGTGCGTCACCTTCCAGTTTGTATCTGTCGCGTTCTTTGCTTCCTCTTTCCGGCAAAACTGTGATTTTGTTTTCCGTTAGTAACGTATGCTACACTTATAATAGGCTCTGCGACAAAAGTGATTGAACTGCAATTCGATGGCGAGCCCATTGAACGGTTTCCCCATTTCGGGAAGGTGCATGGCCCACAGTTCTAAACTTACCTGCTGTATATTTAAGACATTTCCAGCTTGTTTGCGTCCTATTTTTGGGGCGCCAAATACAGGCTTTTTTATACAACCAGTTACAACATTATTTATAAAATCATTATGTCGAATACCCTAGAGTGTCTGAATGCTTGTCCCGGCAATGCGAGCGAATGCCCTACCAGAAAATTCTATGCTGTCATTGCACTGTTGTAATGTATGCGTGAAAAAAAATATTTTTCTACTTCAGGTCCTGGTATGGCAAAACTTTTGGATGAAGAATAGACCACTAAGTAATGGTACGAAACGTACCTTACAATATCCCCAAAGTGAATGTGATCCAGTAGATCGAGTTATTGACCTATAGCGCTCAATATTCATTATTCTAAAACGCTAGACTTTGTGCATTCGAACTACAATGACCTTTCACTGTATACTCGGTGTGCGTTTCACTGTTTTAAAGTATAACCACCGTACCCATTTTCCACGGAGTATCCATGGAGCATCGCCTACTTGGAACCTCTGCATCGTGAGTGTGAGGCGTTAACCGCTGAGCCACTGAGGAGTACGTGCTTTCACGTTCACATGGCAAGCGTTTTATATCTACCACTTAGCGCTAGTGACGGGAACCTCGGGGGTGGAGGCTGTCGTGTTTTCAGATAAAATATTATTTCCTTTTGACCTTACACCATTCTTCCAACACTGGGCGAGTCAATTCTTGAATCGATCAACTATTGACTCAATGTAAATCGACACCCTACGTGTAAAACGTCGAGCTTGACTGTTCAGTCAGTATACAATCGGTTGAAGAGCTTCGAAACTCACGTGTAACAGAGAAATGAGGTACTCAATCATTCTACTCACCACTACTTACTACCTATCACTGTAATCCGAATGATTTCCAGTATTTTCTTTCTGTGCAGCATCTTTCTTTTCCAGTGTGCAGCATGGTACATTTGCCAATCCGAAATGTGTTTTTCGATTTCTCGAGGTTGCCGAGGCCAACTCACCTGTGCATATGTTAGAGTCCCATTCGGTTTTCACACAGCCGTTTGCCGAGCTCGAATTCACTGAAAAAAAAGAACTAATTTATGTATCAAAACAACAGCCTACAGATCCATACGGAAATCAGCAAAGTGCAGTGCGAAAAGTATTCAACTGTAAATATATATTATGTGGGGCTTTTCATCTTAAAGTAACGATATAAATGTGAGGGACACTGTAACAAAAGAATAAAAAATATTGACTATCCACTGTTCTTCAACCTGCCACGTTTACAGTGGACAGCAATTTTAATTACTGTCCACTATATCTATGTCTCGCCGTGGTGGTCTAGTGGCTAAGGCACTCGGTTGCTAACCCGCAGGTCACGGGATCGAATCCCTGGCAGCGGCGGCTGCATTTTCATTGGAGGCTAAAGTGCTGTAGGCATGTGTGCTCAAATTTGGGGGCACTTAAAAGCCCCAGGTGGTCGAAATTTCCGGAGCCTTCCACTACGGCGTCTCTCATACTTAAATGGTGTTTTGGGACGTTAAACACCACATATCAATAATCAAACATATTTATTAGTTGTAATTATGTCACTTCAGGATTGCCGCAAAAGTGGAACCCACTAAGAATATGGACAGTCAGGCTGTGCATTAGGATGTGGACAGCAAGGACAAACAGCCTGGGCTTATGATAGGAGTGAGGGGTATGAAAAAGTGAACTTTTAAGGGCCTGACAGTGCCATTTGGAGACGCAATGAATCTTTTTCTTGTGCTTTATTTAGGCACCAGTGGTTTGGTAGACCTGACCTGAAAGATCAGCGGTCCGCTTTTAGTTATGTTAATTTTCAGTTATCGTCCTCTTTGCAGGCTCCCCCCAATAACTTAGAGTACTGTATGCTGCCTTGGATTACTGTACGATCTGTAATGGCAGCTCTGCCTTGCATGTTGGCCAAAAACAACTGTTTCACTTGTGAGTATTTTCATTTCATGTTCACGCTTGTGCTGCTCATGTGTTTTCGATTAAGAAGCTGGTCCAGTAGAAATTGAAGCATTCTTTATGGCAAAATTTAGTCTCTTTGGTAGCTGAATACGATATAAATACGAGGCATGTGTTAGCAGAGAGCTGCGAAGAAATTTAACCCTCTGGTATATTTTCAACGTGTAGTCATATCGCACAGAAGACGGCCTGTAGCGTTTTACCCCCCTCAAAGTGCAACCACCAGATATGTGATTGAACGCACCACTTTCGCGCCAGTAGCCGAGAACCACAACCGGGGCACCACCACGGGTGTACCAGATGACATACTTGTAGCCGAGAACCACAACCGAGGCACCACCACGGGTGTACCAGACGACATACTTGAACTAAATGGCCCAGTTAGAAGACTTGGGGCCAATTTGAAAAGTCGAAAAACTTCAGAGCAGTGACAGCACAGAAAAAAGAAAGTGTCATCCTGTGCCCTCTGCTCCTCTGTTTGCGGGTGTTCTCGAGCTTTTTCAGTTATGAACACTACAGCTGAGACAAGTCAGTTATCAGGCTTGATGTTTGACTCAGCGCCTTCGATGCAGTGTCTTGTCTGTGGACAGAATAGCTCAGCGCAGAAGGAGAAGCAACGAGTAGCAGAGCTAAGCTACCGTTTCCGGGTCTATTCATGCTCGTTCAAAAATGGCGGGTCATTTCTTCTGTGCATATTCAGAATTCTACTTCACGTCAAACGATGCGGAATGTTATCGAAGGCATCCACTGAGCAACGGATAAGCTTAGTTTGTTTGAAGTCTGCTTCACCCGCCTTCGTCGCCCCACTTGCATGCTCTAGGCTGCGAGAAGAACATAGAATGCAAGCGGGAGAGTTACTTATTTAAACAATATAGAAAGCATAATGCCAACGTTGGCGCTGACTCCAAAAGCTCGTCGAGAGTATTCATATGCGTGCGAAAGAAATAAATGTAATCATGTGCATTCGTTCACAGTTACGCATAATTTTGTTTTACAAGATATTTATGTAACTTTTTGCAGCCAATGTTGTTAGATCAATACTTGGGTCACGCGTCGCGCCGTAGTTGCCCGCTGTCTCCGCGGCGGCCGGTGTTGGTAACCACTTCTAACGAAATAAGAGAAGAACCTTTTGCAAAGGACATAGAGGGGCTCGAACCTGGGTCTCTTGCGTGCCAGCCCAGCATTCTACCACTGAGCCACGCCTGTGCTTGGGGCTTGTTCGTAAACTTGCCTTGGGCAGGCTTGATGTCGCGAATGTAATCGCGGTAATATGAGTAATAAATCGTTTTAAAATAGAAAGAAAACAACCAGGCGTCACACAATGCGAATAGCGTATACCAAGTGGATCGTCAAATGCTCTAATCCATTACAAAAGCTTGTTGTTGATCCCCCTGATAACTGAGGCGCATACCCACATTCAAGCGTGATTCCTGCCCCGCCGCAGTGGTCAAGTGGTTAAGATACTCGGCTGCTGACCCGTAGGTCACGGGATCAAATCCCGGCTGCGGCGGCTGCGTTTCCGATGCAGGCGGAAATGTTGTAGGCCCGTGTGCTCAGATTTGGGTGCACGTAAAAGATCTCCAGGTGGTCGAAATTTCTGGAGCCCTCCACTACGGCGTCTCTGATAATCTTATGGTGGTTTTCGGACGTTAAACCATACATATAAATCAATCAATCAGGCATAATTCCTCATCGCAATCAGCCACTGCATGAACAACTGGCACAGAATTTGAACATAGCACGACAATGCACCATTCGTACTCACTAGCATTTCAGCGTTGATATCACAGACACGACCAATAATTGCTTATCAATCATGTGGTTTCTATAATGCACTCAGATGCGTACCGTTTGACCATATGAAACCAACTACGATCCGAGGAACGTGCATTGACTTAGTATTTGCAAATTTTTCACTGCAACATATACAGGAACTGCTCTCCCTTAATTTCCCGGACCATAAAGCCGTCATAGTGAAGGGACATCGCAAGCCATCCATCGTCCTCTAACATATAAAAGTTGATTTCTTTATATGCACACTTAGTGTTGCTCATGATGTCTTTAGATCTTGATCGACTGGGCAAAAAACACATGGAAGAGGCATGGTTTTACCAATGATTCTCTACCGAGTTTTGCTCCCTCGTCATCATTCTCCCCATGGGTATGCTGTGATTTTTTCGCAGCATTCCTTTGCATTCGACTCCATTGTTTTAATACCTTATGAAATATTTGCACGTATTGTTAAAAAATTCCGCTTCTTGTGCGTTTATTTTGTGCTGACTATTCACTTGTTTGCTCTGTACCATCTGTAAAGTACACAAAGGTGACTTCGCTGGATGCAGCGGTTGCTTTTTGCTGAACGACTGCACTGATAAATCCTAAAATTAACTTATACTCCAGTTTTTAGCAAGCGCTAAATTAACCTAAAGTCAAGTTTCTATCTATCTATCTATCTATCTATCTATCTATCTATCTATCTATCTATCTATCTATCTATCTATCTATCTATCTTACTATCTATCTATCTATCTATCTATCTATCTAGCCGTGAACGACTTTTAGCTCTCTTGGCTGTTTCAATAACGGCATCGATATTAAAATTGTTATGACATAACATGACTGTGAGACGAGCATTACTGACTAATCATAACATGAAAATTATGAATGTATGTCATGAATGTCATGATTTACTTTTCATGATCTCGCTGCTTTTGCGGTGGTATCATTTTCATGGCATATTGCAAAACTGGTAGGGTCTGACATGACTGCTTGGTGAACACAACTGAAAGATCCTTATGTGGAAATCATGATATGCCTGCCATGTAAGATCATGATTACATGCCATGCTCATGATGCACTCGTGGCCGTTTCGTTAGCTTCACATGCACCAAATTTAGTATTACGTAAGGTGAACGGACGACAAAAGAAAATTACACGTTAAAACATGATAATCATGACATGCTTGTCATGTAAAGCATGACTAAATACTACGCTCAGAGTGTGCTTGCGGTCGTTTTGCAAGCTTCACACACACCAAATTTGGTGTTACATAACGTCAATAGATGGCAAAGGCATATTACTGGTGTAAGTATAATAATCATGAGATGCGTGTCATCTAATAACATGACATGTAATGTTCAAGATACGCTCATGGCCGTGTCGTTAGCTTCAACCATACCCAATTTGGTATTATGTGACGAGAACGGACGAAGAAAGTTAAACACGTCCAAACATGGTATTCATTACATGCTTGTCATGTAAGGCATGACTACGTGCTATGCCTATGGTGTTCTTGCCATCGTTTTCTAGCTTCAGATGTACCAAATCTCCTATTACGTGACGTGAATAGACGACGAAGGTAAATGAAACGTCCAAACATGATAAGGATGACACGGAAGTCAGGGGCGGCATAATTAACGTCTGCCTCATAAAGTTGTGAGTGAACTATCAACCTTCCTCATCATTCTTCAGATATCATCGATTCTCACTGTACGTGGAATCTGCCAATATTTTTTTAGGTTTACTTCCTCCTTTTTTATTGCAATAGCAACTATATAGGACACACTCAGCTGGATTTTGCCGTTGGTGTTGGCGTCGATGTCATTCACCGTATATGTATACGTATCTATATATATGAAAACAAAAGAAAAAAACAATTCAGAAAAGAAGCCATCTGGCACGGTATCGAACGTGGGACCTCTGCGTCGTGGAAGCGAGGCGTTAACCACTGATCCATCCCGACTATTTTTTTCTTTATTTTCGGTAAACTTCACAAACGGGTTGCTACACTTAATATATTACAATTCACAACGAACAATACAAAAAAACTTGAAAATAACTAAGCCCGTCAAGCCTTACTATGACACATCACGTTCTAGAATTCCTTCATGGTCAGTAGGGCTTCTACCCTTTCTACCCATAAAGGTACATATTCGTCTGTTCTTACTACCTCGAGTAATCTTGAGATGCTTTCTTTAAAATACTCTCTTGCTGGTCTTCTGTCTGGGTCACAATGAAATCCAGCCATTCTAGAGCGCCATATACTGTGCAAGGCAGTCATCATAATAAAATCGAAAGGTAATCCATCTTCGTTCTCTATATCCAAATACCTGATCCCATGAGGATCTAACGGGAACTCTTTTTTGATTGTCCTTTGTAGTACGTCCCTAAAAATAAACTCCTTCCCAACAGTGCAGAAAAACATGGTCAATAGTTTCCGGTTTCTTACAGATTAGACAGTGAGATCCCCAAGGCATATAAAACCCACGCTCCTCTAGGAAGGTTCTTACAGGAAGTGTTCCAGTGTGTAATTTGAAAAAGAACGTTTTCGCACTTGGAGCTGCTGGCATTTTTTAACTCGTTTAAGTACATTCTGACCCTTGCGTGCTGTATATAGCGCTCTATACAATGGGATGGGGAGCATCGTGTCACATAAATCTTTGTACAGTTTTTTTCTTTCCAACAGACCACAGGTAGTCAGTTGAAAACCGAACACACAAAAACCGCACGCTGGCCACAACTTCCTTCATGTATCCTTGCACAGCCCCTGTGGTAACATGAGTGCTCACAACAAATTCGGGCAACAGTCTACTTAGTCTTGTTTGACACACTGTTAGTAGGAAAGGATCTCTTGTCTCGCGAAAAAAGAAAACCTATTTACTAACTGCTTGATAAACAGATGTCCTAGCCCAAGGCCTCCACACTTCACCCGTCTAAACAAATTTGTGCGACTGCACCTTTCCCAGTTAGAACCCCACACAAATACTGCAAACACCCGATGTAATTTTTGCACATTGACCCGGGAACAGTACAGCACTTGCATCACATACCACAGCTTAGACACAAAAAACCAGTTGCATGCAGTAGCCCTAGCAAACATGGACAGATAGGTTGCATTCCACCTATTCGCTTTCTCTTTAATTTCTTTCGTTTGCTGTGTCCAATATTCATCAGTACTTTTGTATGACTCGAGTGGTACTCCGAGATATTTAACTGGCGTTCTTGTCCATTTAATGGCTGCGAAAAATTCTGGTGTTGAAGGCCAATATTCCTGCTAGAAGCCGAGGCATTTACCCCAGTTTATGTGGCTTCCTGTAACTTCGGCGAAAGATTTAGAAACTCTGATTGATTCTTCAATACCTTCATAGGAAGTGCTACAAATCGCAACATCATCAGCGTATGCGAGTAGTTTGACCTCTGAAGATTGTACTCTAAACCCATTAATGATGTGATCCATCCCGACGGACATCCTTCTCCGTTCAAACGGCGAGCTATTTATATCTACGGGTTACCGCTGCTGTGCTTTCGGCATTACCAGGAAGATGGCGCAATGAGTGCACGTTGCCACATCGCACAGCGGCGCCTGCCCTTATCCCTTACCCCTACTTTGTCTTGCTTAAAGAAGGGAGCTACGCTCGCTCGCGCGACCTTATCTCGCGGTGGTGAAGCGGGGAGGCACGTACGCCTTCGCTGGCATTGGGCTTTACGTGTAACGATTCTGCTGTAGTTACCGGGCACACAAAGATCACTGCAATCATTACTGTCTCCGTTCGCGAAAAGCGCAAGCTTTTCAGACTCGGCGAAGTAATAAATGAGACGCTTATTCGCGTGCATCCGTATCTGTGAGTCCGTTTCGTGCATAAGTTGTGCGCGAGAAATGCGGTGCATGTTTCAATTTGCTTTCCATTCAGCGCGTGACCTTTCAAAATGTTGCTATCGCGTTCGTTGCTTTGCCTTTGAGGCAAAGCTTGTGACTTTTTTCTTTATTCTACAATATTCCAACTTTTTTTTCAGAAAGCAGCTATTGACAAGCCTCTGTAACGCTGTCCATCTGTAACGCACTCTCCCACTGCACCTGCTTGCATCTTGTACCACATTCTCACGTTCTGTACCAGTCCAGAAAGACATCCTTCCTCTCTTTTGCTTCGTGGGGACGATGGAAGGGGCGTTTGCTAGTAAAGAAATCCCAGCATATCCACGTAGCGATTGAAGATGAGTGGGGTGAAGAGTTCGTCAGTCCGTCCGTACCTGCGTCCATCCGTGTGACTGTTCATCGTCCATCCTTGCGTTCGTGTCAGTCCACCCGTCCGTGCATCTGTGCGTCCATGAATCAATCTGTTCTTCAGTCTGATTGTGTTTCCCGCGCGGACGGACGCACCAACGCACACACGGACGTGCGCATGGACGTATGAGCAAACAGGTGCACGAACAGATATATGGGCAGATGGACACACGGAGGGACATACGCATGAACGCACGGACGGATGGACGGAAACACAGACAGAACATCGGACAGATGGATAAACAGAAAGACTGGCGCAAGGACGGTCAGTCTGTCCGTCCATCAGTCCGTCTGTTCGTGCTTGTGCCTGTCTGTCTGTCTGTCCGTCTGTCTGTCTGTCTGTCTGTCTGTGTGTCTGTCTGTCCATCGGTCCGTATGTCTCTGTCTGCCCATCCATCCATCCGTGCATGTGTGTATGTGCCTGTCTGTCTGTCCGTCCGTCTGCAGCCTGTGCGTCTGGTGTGTTCATTCGTCGGTGCGTGTGTATGTCTGTGTGTCAGTCTGTTCGTTCGTGCGTGCGTCACATGTCTGTCTATCCGTCCGTATGTCCGTTCACGCTCTGTCAGTTTGTCCACCGCACATCCATACGTGCCTCCAACCGTCTATCTGATGAGCACTCCAAGTACCACCATCTCGCAACTTTTCATCATATATTCATCATATACGAGAACAGCCATTCAGAGGATATTACAAGATCTGAAGGAGAGGCGCCTGCCTACTACTACTACAGCTACTACTATTACTACTACATACATACAACATGGATGCACGACCAATGGCATGAAGAGCTTCAACCCAAAAAATCGACTGCTCGCGCTACCAAACATTCACTGGCCACCCCGCATATGTACACCCACTGGATCGCGCGTTCGCAATTTATTCAAGGGCGTCTAAACCTGGCACTCGCTTGATGAGCGCCAGTGTCAACGTTGCCGACAGTGTAAGCGTTAGCATCCGCTGCTTCGCATCTACAGATGTTTCCTTTAGTGGGATGTGGTCCAAGTTTTTTCGAAGTTTGTACTGTTTTTACCCCGTCGGTTATCTTACCTTTGCGGTACGTGCCCTGCCCATGACCATTTATGCATCTTGATATGAACTATGATGTCTGTAGCACCCGTTTGTTTTCAGATGCAGTCTACTCTTTTCTTGATCCTTATGGTTACACCTATCGATTCCCTCTCCATCGCTCGCTGCTTCGTCTTCAAATTAGGTTGAATCCTCCTTCTTACCCTCTAGGTTTCTGTTCTGTAGGTAAGTACCGGTAAGACGCAGCTGTTATCTACCTTTCTCTTGAGGGATAGTGGCGATCGACCATTCATGACTTGGGAATGCTCGCCGAATGTGCTCCACCGCATTCTTATACTTCTAGTTGCTTATCTTCTGGTTCGGCACCACGATGTGTCAATGTACAATTAGCGCTCAGCCACTGCTCTGATGACACATTTCACTTTCGTTATATAGCAAGCCCTACGACGCTAAGGTGAGTCATGTACTTCATTAACGCTAAGCATATTCACTGCTAAAAAGCCACCTATTTGTGTAGCACCCTCCAACCTAACTACTCCGAAGAGGCTTGGTTTTAGCTTCTTGTGAGTGGATAGAACATCGATAGAAAACTTACCTGGGCAGAAGTTGGAGTTCAAGGCCGTATTTTGGGCACCTGTAGATATACACACGATAAGCGTACGGAGGGAAGGTGACTGCGTTCGAAATCTTTTTATTGAGCGACATACCATAAAATCATAGTGCATATTTGTACAAATGTTGCGCGCACAGGCATACGTAAGAGTTATAGATGTTTATATACCCTGTTGTTTGCACTTGCACAACGTGGACAACTGAAACATGCGCATTAGAAAAACTGATAAGAAGGTCTCATGCTCGCGAACATGCTGTCCCTAACACTGATAAAAAAATCAACTTCAGCACATGGCAACTAACCATTGCTGACCTTCACCCGATGGGACGGCTGTATCAAAGTAGTACGTATGTTATGTTTATAAAGTGGGTTGCTAGAACTACGACCACTCTTGACGTTTCACGAAGATTAGCGTTTGATGTGAGGCATATATATATATATATATATATATATATATATATATATATATGTATATTGTGTGTGTATTTTGATGTTTTGCTGCAATTAATCTTAGTTTATATTTCCGATTATTGCTTATGTTGCCTCTAACATTGTTTTACCACAATTTGCCCTTAAAAGGAGGTCCCGATACAGTTTTTTACTTTGGGCCCTCCTTTTTTATACTAAACACATGTCACATTCTTGTATTCGTATCAATAAAAATCTGAAATCTATTTGAAAAGTAGTTTCGAAACCTGCCACAGCTCTGTGAAAATGCTTGATTGCCACGCAGAATGCTTGAGTTCGATTCTAGCTGGTACCCTGACATTCATTCTTTGCATTCGTTGGGTGGACACTTGCGATGTGAGGTATTTCTTAGATAGATAGATAGATAGATAGATCGATAGATAGATAGATAGATAGATAGATAGATAGATAGATAGATAGATAGATAGATAGATACGCTCAAAGTCGCCGAAGTTTACTAAGAAATGCTTCGCATTTATTACTGTGACGATGAACGAGCAGGTTTTATTTTGAGATTACCGTTTGTCGGAGTCCTAAGCCTGCATATCTGGTGTAAGAAAATCGACAGACAATTAGGTGAAGGCAAGCACAGTGCAAAATAATTCTGGCTTCGTAACTTCGAAGTAAAGGTAGTCAAGTGAAGTGAAAGCAGTATAAGCGGATAAAGAATATCCATTCTATCAACGAGACCTCATTTCACAACCTTCTAACTACGCGTTTGATGCCACTCTATTTCAGCGACGATGAAGGCCGATACATAGAAAGACACTGTCCCTCTACAACCCCCCCCCCCCTTGCATGATCGGCGTTGACAGGGCCATTTCTGCGGATATCGCCACCCCTTAATCGAATTCGGCCCATTTTCGGCGGCCGGAATGCTCCGTGTGAACTAGCCCTTAGCGCTACCTGCTGCTTCGCGTCTACACATGGCTCCTTTAATGAGAGATTGTGCAAGCTTTTTGGGCGTTTGCGCTGTTATGTAATCCATCGGGTATCTTCCCTTTGCACTACGTAACCTGCCCATGACCATTTATGCTTCTTGATTTCGACTATAATTTCATTGACACGCATTTGTTCTCTGATGCACTCTGCTTCCTTTTTGTTTCTTAATATTACACATACCAATTCTCTTTTCCTTGCTTGCTGTTTCGTAATCACATTAGGTTGAACCTTTATTCTAATCTTCCAGGTTTCTGTTCCATATGTAAGTACCAGTAAGAACCAGCTTTTATCTACCTTCCTCTTGAGGGATAGTGGCAATCTATTATTCATGATAAGCGAAGGCTTGCTCTACCTCAGTGCTCCACCCGATTGTTATTCTTCTAGCTACATTAATGTTGTGGTTCGGCACCACTATGTACCAATGTACAATGAGCGCTCAATCACCCCTTTGATGAAACTTTTCACTTTCGTGTTATAGCGAGCCCCACGATGAAAGATTCAGTCACGTATTTTGTTAACATGGCTGAGCGAACATCCATCTGAAGCACATCTACGGCTAAAAAACACACTTTTCTGTAGTTCTCGCTATCTAAAATACTCTGAAGAGAACAAGTTTCTGCTACTTGTAAGTGGATAGAACATCGATGGTAAGCTCACCTGTGCAAAAGTATGAGTCCAAGGAAGTCTTTCCAGAACCTGTAATGACACACGCCACAGTAAATATTGCGACGATGAACGAGCTGGTTATAATTTCATACTTGTGTTTGTTTGGGCCACAAGGCTCAATAGTATGTGTAAAAAGAACGACAGATAAATAGGCGAAGTAAAGCATATGTCATACTATTTCTGGCTTCCTAACTGCAGTGTAAAGATTGTCAAGTGATGTGAAAGCAATTAAGCGCATAAAGAATAATCCTTCCATCAATGAAATCCTGATTCTCAGCCTTCAAATTACGCGTTCAATACTCCTACAGTTCGGGTAAAATAAAGGAATGTTCTAGTCTTTTTTTTTACTTTTCTTAGTGTCTTGGTGTGATAAATCCCTGGAAGTGTAAGCCAGCGCCACTCGTAGCAAAGGAGGCGAGTCTTTCACCTCCTTTCTTAATATTTTTCTGATTATATGACGCATCACGTAAAGTGCACTGTAGTTCGCGGCTGACCAGTTAAGCCTCGTAGGGTGAGTGAGTGAAAAACAACTTTATTCATCGAAGAGGTGAGGTGTACTACCTTACAAATATACCTGTAAACCATCAATAGACTGACAACACCTATTTTCCAAACCATCAACGGCTTCATTTGACAAGATCCACATCGCATTTTATCATTAGAAATGGCTGAAATTCTGAGCATTTCTACCAAAGAGATATGATGTAGCGATTGAGTGGATACAAGTTTACTGTGGCATAAGGGAGAACGAAGAGGCTTAGGTGACAGCCGAAAGTGTTTTCAACTCAGTAGGATGCTAGCTTTTTGCACTTCCATGCTTTTTTTCATAGTAGCTCTGTGCTCTTTCGCACGCAGCCCTTTTAAAGGCTACAGATGTCCCCACAGAGAAGCCGCCGAACGAAGGCAAACTGGCGCTACCGGCGGGGCCAATTGGACTTGTCACGTGAGTTTGGAAGACCCACTCTAAATTTTCTTCTTGCCCGTGTTAAAACGTGCATATCATAGTACCGTCGGCTTTCTTTGTAGTTTTCTTGGTCAACTGCGCGTAGTTCGTGGGTTCTCTTGCGTGCGTACGGGGGACAAAGCGAATGCTCTTCATAATACCCTTCTCTACTCTTTCCTCCTTACATCTTTCACTCCAGTTCCCCTATCTTCCCGTGCCGATGTTGTTGAGGTGATCTTCATAGAAAGAGACAGTTACAACGCCGCGATTATTTCCTCCTTATTCATTTGGAACATCTTCACAAAAAGGTTGAGATTGAAGCTAAAAAAGGTTTGAGTAACGCCCTGGAAATAGGCATTGCGTTTGTTCGAACGCACACTGACCTCTAAGACACATGATGCGCAAATTTATTTTAGACAACGGCAACAAACCATAAGACGGGTGCAAGCGGCATCGCAAATGGGACCCAGAAATATTGTTCCTTATGCCTAAAAAGCAAAAGCGAGGTATCTCCTGCATTATTCCGCACCTTCGTCTTGATGTGGCTTACACGAGAAGTTACCCCTACTTGATAAGCTGTAGGAGCACAAGTCGCAACTGTGGCCACTTTAAATTGCTAAAAATTTTTGAACATGTATTTTGCACCTGTCCATTGTACGTAGGAAAATGTCAGCAACTTTTCTCCTCGACGGGACAATATATTAGCAGACCATTAATCGATGAGGTATTCTTAGGTTTTTAGCCTGATGCCAACAGCACAAATGTGGTTATATGAGCCATCATAGCGTCCATGGAAGCCACTGGACTGATTGCACGTCTTCAGAATTACCCGAGAATAACAAGACCATACTCCCATCTCCATACTTTACCATCGTCATTCATCACTCTTTCACTCTCCTGTCACCCTACCTCAGTGCAGAGTAGCAGGCCAGAGTAAACTTTCTGTCGATGCATTCTCACTCTATCGTAATTTTAATGGAGCAACCGAGCGACGTAGGCGGCCAGGCTGTCCTTCTCTATGACGGTTACCGCTCATTCTAATACCAGTGTAGGGATGTCTGTGTAAACGCTATACAGACAAGTCGCCCTTTGGTCTTCGGTCGATGGTCATCCCAAAACGTCAGGGGGGGGGGGAATCGTTCGGTCGGTCGCAGGAGATGTGGTTTAGCACAGCAACGTTCCCACATAGGCAGCAGCGTGGATAGCTGAAACCTGGGTACAAAAGTACGAGACGAGGGTACGCAAATATGTTAATCTGCAAGTGATGCCAGGCAATCTCAGACTACTTGGGAAGACAGCCGTGAGCCTGTAGAAAGACATCTTGCTTGAGGTAATATTGCTGGGTTGATGTCAAGGTAGGCGACCACGGCTCTGGCACGAAGGAGTCAGACTTCGAGGAGGCAACCTTTCGATTAATGAATCCTTCACAATGTTGGTGAGCCACCTAATTGTCAGGGTGAATAGATGGGTGGAGACACAGATCAGTTGGTAGTGGTGCTGCTCATTATCGGAAGAGACTGCAGCCAAAGTGATGGTTGTCTGCCCACTTTGACAGCACAGGGGCCTGAATGGGGCCAGCACAAATCGCTGATGAGGGAGCTTAGGAGGGTGACACGAAAACGACTTGAAGGCGGTCGTAGGTGAGTGGTACCGAGCCTGTATCTGTGCAGGTAACTATACTTGGTGTGATGAATATCCTTGTGTCCTTGGCGATAAGCTTTGTGGTGGCCTACGAGCATATTCTTCGGCAGCGACTTGATGAACAAGGCAACTCCGACAGCATTATGTCATGAGACTATGTCTGGTAGGTTGGACCGTGGGAGGATGTGTCGTGGCCGTGAAGAAAAAGATGTGGCAGCAGGTCAGCAATCAATAATGCGTTGCTGCTGATCAGTGCGGTGAGCTTGAGTCAACTCGTGGAGCGTGTTGTGTACATGAAAATGAAGAAAGCGATCCGTGGACGCGTTGAAGGGAAGGCCGAAGGCAGCCTTTTATGCTCGACAGATGAGGAAGTCAATTTACGTGAGGGGGGAAATGACGGAAGCGTCGATAAGAAAAAGCATATCGTGTTCTAGTATGCCCACCTGCCATGCGCGGATACAAATAAGCGCACGCGCTGTCTGCTGTATCAAGAACGAGCTCTTGCTGACAGTGGACGAATTCTAACAATGGGACTAAAGTATCAGCCTGACCACGCGGAAACACGAAATGACTGGGAGCGGAGTGGAGGGGACGTTTGTCATGACGGTTGCTTGAAGAGTTTTATAATGATGCTGGTTGAGAGCACGACCTCATCGATAAGCTTACGACCTGCTCATGCTGCCTCTCGACATGTCGCCATATTTTCTATTGTTTACTTATTTTTCTTAGTTCTCTAAAGTACCACATCACCAGGAACAGCACGGCATGGCACTACACTTTACCCCCATCGCTGCAGCCATCAAACCGCTTTTTCTGCACTTGCGTGCACGCATTCGCTCAGTTTTGTTTTACTGCGATAGTAATGATATGAACACTCAAGGCTTGATTTCGTCATTGGCGTCGGCCTTGGCACCGGCGTCGCTGTCATGCTCCGTATATGTATACGTATTACATATATGAAAACGCAAAAGAAGCGAAAATCCAGAAAAGAGACCTCGGCCTGCGGAATCGAATATGACACCTTCGCGTCATAAGTGCGATGTGTTAACCACTGAGCCACCGAGAGGTGCCTCTTCAACGGTCAAACGGCAAGCTATTTTTATCTACTACCGCTGTTGGCGGGCATGTCGGCGGAGAGAGGAATTATCATGTTTTCAGCACTATCTGCAAGAAGGCGCAATGAGCGCACGGCAGCTCTCATCTCCCACGCCTACTTTGGCCGGTGGAGAGGAGGGGAGTGGACGCTCTCTCGCGCAAACTTATCTCCCGGTGTGAAGGATCATACGTCTTGGCTGGCGTTAGCAATGCACTGTAATGGAGAGAGAGAACAAAATGACGGAAAGACGAGGTGGTTATCCAGAAATTGGAGCATCCGGTTTGCTACCCTGCACTAAGGAAAGAGATGATGACGAAGAAATATGAGAAAGAAAGTAAAGAACGAAATGGATGCGTGAAAATGAGAAAAAATTGAGCTCAGGTGCTATAGCCTATACAGTAGGCCACTACCACGCAAGCAGTTTAATAAGGCCTTCACTGATTTTCGGTGCGGAGACACATCGTGTCGCGTTTCAAGCACTGATTGTTCTTACAAAGGTCTATAATCAAGGCGAGCTAACGCAGCAGCTAGCTGCCGTCTTTGCACGCCAAAACGAGAGCAGTGACACAGAACGTGCTCTATCGTTTCATCGCTGCCGCAATGATCGCAAGCACTGGAACGATTCTGCTGTAGTTATGGGGCGCAAAAAGGTCAGTTGCACAGCCTCCGTTTGCGAACAGGGCGTGCTTTCAGGACGCCACGAAGTAACAACTGAGACGCTCATTCACGTTAATCTGTACCTGTGAGAACGTTTCGTGCGTCATTCGTGCGTGAGAAACGCGGGTCACGTTTCGATCTGCTTGTCATTCTGCGTGTGACTTTCCAATTTGTTGCTGTCACATTCACTGCTTCGCCTTTGTGGCAAATCGACCTCTATGTTAGTTTTTTTGTACTAAGGCGCTCGCTCAGTGATTAGGATTCGATAGTAGAGACCCCAGAACCAGCCACCGTTATACTTCTGACAGCTAGAACGTTGCTACTAGACGCCTAGTCTGTGTATTTCTCAATCCACAAGTCATTACCTGGAAAAACAATGAAAGCAACTTGTCCCAGTTCAAGCGCACGAATAAACAGAAAGGAAAAGAACAGGGCTCTCTTCCTTTCTCAGGGACAGCACAGGAGTACGATGGGCTTAGAGAGCTCTTTATTAGAGAGCAATTTTTCACCAGTTGCCACCCGAGCCTGTCGCTGTACTTGAAAGAGAGGAAAGCTGAGTCACTCGAAGACATGCTTGAATTGGCCGACTAATTCTTGGAAGCGCAAGGTGGCACGAATTTGGCCAAAATCCAGAAGGAGTGTCCCGCAGATTCGAATAAATCGGCACCCAAACAAAAGAAGCGTGCACCGGAG